GGTGATAAAAACAGCTTGTGCTCAGGTTAATGCCCAAGTAATCACTGGTATATTAGCAGGAAGAATGGAAGAACATGTTCCTTTGACTATACCAGACTGGGACTATGATGATCCGGCAGTTTATGCTGCTTTAAAGAGATATCGGAATCTGATTAAATTTGGGCTAGAAAATGCGATACCAAAAGCCATAAGTTGGTCAGTTCTATCTGAAATAAAACAAGGACCAAAAGAAACACCTACCGAATTCCTAGACAAATTAAGAGAAGCAATGCGAAAATATACTACCTTAGACCATTCTTCTACCAAAGGGAAATTACAAATCGCTAACTTATTTCTAGGACAGACAACAGAAGATATTAGAAGAAAGCTTCAGAAATAATCAGGACCTGACAGTCGAAATACAGAAAAATTAGGAGCTGAAGCATGGAAAGTTTATAGAAGTCAGGAACAGATAAAAGAGAAAAAGCTACGAAGAACGATAGCAACTGCTACAGTAGCTGCTTTAGGGCACACAGGGACCTGTGGAGGAAGCAGAGGACAGGGCAGAAGAAGAGGAATAGCAGTTAGAGGCAGAGGAGGAATGTTCAATAAAGGGGAGAGAGCAAATTTTTCTCACAATGTAGAACCTAATCAGTGTCTAAAATGCAAGGAATTCAGACACTGGAAACAAGACTGTCCTCAACAGAAATAGGAAACACCAGTAACTGAACTAAAGTTAGATTGACAGGGACCTGGGGAATCTACCCTAGCGGATCCACTGGTTAAATTAAAACTAGGGGAAGGAAAAAAAGAGATAGAATTCCTGATAGATACAGAGGTGACTTACTCAGTAGTGAATTAAAATTTAAATCCGATTGGACAAGAATTTGTTACAGTTGTGGGAGCTACTGGCTGCTGGGAAAAAGCATTCTTTCTTAGACCATTAAAATATAAATTGGGAAAAAAGATTGGTGTGCATAAATTCTTATACATTCCAAATTCATGGAAATCCTTATTGAGATGTTTTAAAAATAGTCTGACCTTTTTCGGAAATCAATTGGCACAAGAATTAGAATCCTGGGAAGCACCCACCCAGACAGGCACTTTACTACAATACGTTGATGACCTGTTAATTGCTATCAAAACCGAGAAAGAATGTGTTTAATGGACTGTAGAACTGTTAAACTTTCTAGGGCTAAATGAAAACCAGGTAACTAAATTGAAGGCTCAACTAATTCGAACTCAAGTATCTTATTTAGGATACAAAATAACAGGAGGACAACAAGAACCTGGAGCAGCTAGGAAGGAAGCAATCTGTCAGACACCACGACCACCCACAGCTAAAGATCTCTGGACATTTCTGGGAATGACAGGATGGTGCTGACTCTGGATCCATGATTATGGTGTTCTGCTGGATGAAACAAGTAAAGGCTGGCCTGGATGCTTGAGAGCAGTGGCAGCAGTCATCTTAAACATCCAAGAGGCCTGAAAATTTACACTAGGACAAAAGATCACCATGTTAGTGTCACATGCAGTAGCAACAGTCCTGGAACAAAAAGCATCTTTCCTTCAGGAAACCCCTACCGAACCGCTGGTTCACAATTGCTTGGTCACTTACAGACAGTATACTCGAGCCGACCAGACCTGAAGGAGGAGCCTCTGGAGGGTGCAGATTCCTGGTTCACCAACGGCAGCAGCTTTGTTAAAGATGGTAAACGAAGAGCAGGATATGCCATAACTACAACTTCAAAGCTAACAGAAGCTAAACCATTACCCTCTAACACCTCAGCACAAAAGGCAGAAATAATAGCCCTGACTAGAGCCTTGGAGTTGGCAAAGGACAAGTGGATAAACATATGAACTGATTCCAAATACGCATTTGGTGTAGTTCATACACAGGGAGCAATTTAGAAAGACCTTTAAATATCCAGGGAAGACAAATTAAACATGCAACATAAATTCTGCGATTGCTAGAAGCTGTACAAGTACCTAGTGAAGTGCCTATCATACATTGTAAAGGTAACTGATCAAGAGATTGGCAATGATTTGGCTGATCTTGATGCTAAACAGGCAGCAGAAACAGAAAGAGTTGAGGTGATGTCCTTAATTCCTGACAGTAAACTGGTAATTGAGCAAAATAAACCTAGGTACTCTAAAGAAGATATGAAACTAATTGAAGACTTGGAAGGACAGGAAAATGAAAAGGGTTGGATAAAAAGACCTGATGGGCGAGTAGTGATCCCCTATAATCAATTATGGAAGGTGATACAACAAGAACATAACAAAATTCATGGGGGAAGTAACGCCTTGTATAAACATTTAAACAAACAGATCACAGGAAGAAATTTATATACCATAGTGCAATTAGTGACCAAACAATGTCAACTATGTCTGAAAAATAACCTTAAGATTGAAAACAGGAATCGGGTAGGGACAACTGGAAAGGGGAATTACCCAGGATAACAGTGGCAAATATATTTTTCTAAATTACCTAGGAAAGGAGGTTACTGATATTTATTGGTATTGAGATACTTTTTCAGGGTGGCCAGAAGCATTCCCTTGCAAGGCAAATAACGCAAAACAAGTGATTAAGGTGCTATTAAATTAAATAATACCTCATTTTGGGGTACCAGCAACTATCTCCTCTGACCACAGTACACAAAATCATTACAAGAAATCAGCAAGAAATTGGAAATAGATTGGCAATTACATGTTCCATATAGGCCTCAGGCCAGTGGGCAAGTGGAAAAAATGAACCACTTAAATAAACAACAGCTTGGGAAGATTTGTCAAGAGACTAAGTTATATTGGTATCAAGCATTACCACTGGCCTTATTGAGACGCGGAACAAAACCTCGGTCAAAGGAAGAAATTAGCCCATTTTGAGATTCTACATGCAAGGCCATATCAATCTCAATTTAAAGGACAGAGCCTTCAAGAAGTAGGAGGATACCTAAAACAGCTCTTGGTAAACTTCAGAAAACAGTTAGAAGAAATAAACGTCAGAGTGTTAGGGACCAGGGCCAGAGGTTTAGATTATCCTATTTACCCTTTTTAAGTGAGGAGATTGGGTTTATATTAAGAATTTTGCAGGTGATCCCCTACAAGAGGAGTGGAGTGGACCATACCAAGTATTACTAACTACCTTTACAGCAGTGAAGATAAAGGAACAACCTGCTTGGATACACTATTCAAGGGTCAAGAAAGCACCAGAGCCAGAGAAGATATGGCAAGTTGAGTCTTCAGGACCCACACGTGTGAGACTGTTAGAGAGGGTGAGGTTTTTACAATAAAATAATCATATAAAATAGTAAAATGATTATATTTGAGAAATTTATAAATCAATAGTGAGGCTTTGTATATTAGAAGACGTCATAACTTTGCCATTTCTGTATCATAGTTACTCTATAACTAAATGTTACAATGGTAGTCTTGGTAGCAAGAGCTAACATAACTGTGTATGGTGAGGGGAGTATGGGTGTATGTATTGTAAAACTCTACCCAAGCAGAACCTAAGTTTAAGATAGCCAAAAAGGGCATACCAGAAGCATCCTGGTGAAGATAAGAGAATGCTAACGTCCGGAAGACGACTGGGACCTAGCCAAGTAGAGGAAAGGTGAAGAGGACAACCTGAGGAAGACTTCTTACTTCATCTGAGGAAGACTCCTTACTTCATCAGGGCGACCACCAGAGGGGGCTGCGCAAGCGCAGAAGAGGCTGATGTGGTAATAGACTGATGTAGCAATCCTTGATGCATATGTATTAGTCAATGACGTAATCTGTGTTGAATATGTATTAGTTACGAGATTTTTAGTGTATAAATTGCGAACGCGATGTGACAGGAGTCGGAACCAGATTTGGGTGCGTACCCCTGGTTCCCGGCGCCTCAATAAAGCACCTCATATAACCATCCCGGTGGTTATGTGTTTGTCCCGACGCTAACAAGACTGCATAGGCCAATATCTGGTCTTGTATATAACTCAGTTCCAAAAGCATTTGCAATAGGACAAGAAAAGGGGGGACTGAAGAATGGGGTTCCTAGAAGAATAGGGTGGATTGAAGAATAGGGTGGATTGAAGAACAGGGTTGTAAATAAGTAACTTCAAGGATGTTAGGCTTTGTTAGCAACTATAGAGAAAAGGAAATGACTAAGATAAGTTCTGCCAAAACCCTCTGGTGGTTACTGATATGACGATGCTAAAACAAAGTGATGAAGAAACAAAGACCAGGGGTCCCAAAGCCCACTACCACATTTTAGTGTACATGCGGGAGGCATTCTCTAGAAGTATGATGTAATGTATGTAATCTAATGAGTATGTATGTTTAAGGACAATATAATCACAGCCTGGTTGATGCTTGGATGAGACAAACTAGGAGGAGAGATCCCCCGTGTCTCCCAGCGCCACAATAAAGAATACCTGCTTGTCAATTTAAACTTTGTTGGCGAGTCCCTAGAGATTTCTCTGAACCACCGAACTCAAACTAAGCATAAACGCCCCTTGTAAAGGACTTGAGTTTCTACTTACAGACAACGCGCCAGATCAACAGGAAAGGATGTTCTCCTGACGGTTTTGAAGCTTTTTCTCCCTTTTAGCCTACAGCACTGCCTGCCTTGCTCCAACTACCACCCTAGCCGTTTCCTAGGGACTGAAGGAGCACGCACATCTTGAAGACTGGGCCCTACCACAGCGTTAACCTCTCAAAATGCCTGGGATGCGGTTGCGTTTGTTAATTTCGGGCAGTTTCCATGATGACCGCACTTCGGCACGACCCCTCACGGCCGAAGGACGTGCGAAAATCCCCGATTCCAGCCCGCGTTCTGGGCAGCCAGCCTTCGGACCGCGGGCCACCTAAGGGTGGCCCCTAAGATGCAGCAGGAGACCCCTGTGCCCACCGTTCCGGGGACTGCCAAGTCCAACGGCGGGCGCCCCGGGCCGGAAGGGAAAGGCGGGCGGGTACTCGTGCACCTCACGCACCGCCCATCGCGGCCGCCGCGCGGTGATGACGGAAGCGCGTCGCGCCACCCGAGGTCCGCCATGAAGCCGTCGCCCGTCTCCAACTGCGAGCGGCGCTTCCTTCTGCGCGCCATCGAGGAGGGGAAGGTGCGGTCCCGGCCTCCCCTTCCCCCAGCCCCTGCAGCGGCCCCGGCCTCCCCTTCCCCATCCCGCGGAGGGCTGGCGCTGCTCCTCCGGCCCCTCGAACCGCAGGGGGATGGCGTGTTAACCTGGTGTGTGTGTGTCTCTGGGCCCGCAGCGCCTGGACGGGCGGCAGTGCTATGACTACCGGAACGTGCGCATCTCCTTCGGCACCGAATATGGCTGCTGCATCGTGGAGCTGGGCAAGACCAGGTTGTGAGCGGGGCTGCGGGCGGGCACAGCGTACCGCCTGAGGGAGGGAAAGGCATTTGGGCGTTGTGTTTCCGAACGTGTGGAGGCAAAACCTCCGTGGCGTTCAGTGTGAGGTGTCCGAAAGCCTGCCGAGAGAGATCACAGCAAACAAAGCTTAAAGGCCATAGAGGAGAGGGGGAAGGGGAAGGAAGAGGGAAGGGATGGGGTTTCTGTGATGACTGTAGATTAAAAATAGTGTATATAAGACAAAATTATAATTTTTCATCTCTTTAGTTGCTGGTTTCATGTTATGTATTCTGCGAATCAAACTGCCTTTTTTTATATGTGGGGAAGTGGAATACATGCGCTTACATAAGCGTTTAGGTATAGGTTGTCATGTGTTTGAGTTTATTTTTAATCCTCAGAGACAGTAAAATGTTCGGATTCCTGCATTTCCTGCTGTGAGTTACTGACCAAAGTTTAAATACGTATGACAGGCGTTAAACAAGAAACTGACAGGAGTGAGAAATACAAACTAAAACCCTAACTGCATGCTTTCTCAAAGTATATAGTTTGTTTCTAGTGATAGGGTTTTTTTTCCAGCTAACTTCTGTGACTTAGCGGTTTGTTTACCTTTGCAGGGTTCTTGCACAAGTATCATGTGAACTTGTTCCCCCCAAGCCAAGTAGGCCGACAGAAGGTATACTTTTTGTTAATCTTGAGCTCTCACCAATGGCTGCACCTGGTCTTGAGCCTGGCAGGTATGTAGCTGTCTTAAAGAGACTAGGCAGGTGTGACAGAAGAGCCACTGGCATGGTTGCCCATGGCAAGGGGGTTGGAACTAGATGATCGTAAGGTCCTTTCCAACTAACTATTCTATGATTCTATGATACAAGGAAGTATAGAGTGTAATCATACTCGGTTGGGGTTAATTTTGTTTTGACAGGCAGTCTGACTTACTGGTGAAACTAAACAGACAAATAGAGCGATGCCTGAGAAATTCCAGATGTATAGATACTGAATCTCTCTGCGTTGTTGCTGGTGAAAAGGTATGAAAACCCATGAATTTCAAGTGGGTTTAAACTAAATGGTGCATATACTCTTTTTTTTTTTAGATGGTCCTTGTTTTGGAAGATAGAAATTCCTATTGTAGATTAATGTGAAGATCCACATATCTGACTTTACAGGCATTTTCCACTTGCATGTCTACAGAGGCTTTCTGAAGTAGTTGGGACCCTGCACACTCAAATATTTTCTTTGCAGAATGAAGTTTAACTTATGCTTAAGTGTTACGTATTTTGTCATAATTAAATCTGGCACACTGGTTATCTTGGAATATACTGAAATCATAGAATCATAGAATTGTTTGGGTTGCAAGGGACCTTAAAGATCATCCAGTTCCACCCCCCCTGCCATGGGCAGGGATGCCTCACACTAGACCAGTTTCCTCAGATCTTCCATCTTCTTAAGCAAAGACCTGAAGAACATGTGATGGTGGTTCTTATGGTTCAGAAAATGAAATTGTTTGGAAAAAAACAGTAACTTCTGTAGAATCCTGTCACACACGACCAACCAGTTACGTATGGGTTTCTTCTCAGGTTTGGCAAATCCGCCTGGACATGCACCTGTTAAATCATGACGGTAACATTATTGATGCTGCCAGCATAGCAGGGATTGTAGCTCTGTGTCATTTTCGCAGACCAGATGTGTCTGTGCAAGGAGAGGAAGTAACTGTGGTAAGTTATACTGGTTTACATGTGGCATCTCGGGCAGCTCTTCGTTTCTAAAGGGGAGAATTAGATGTTTGGGTAAGCAGATAAACTCCAAGGTACTTAAGTTTTAGGATAGATATGTTGCTATTCCAGATTTGTAAGGGTAGTGAGGAAGCCTGCTGAATACAGAATTTTAGCAATATCAGTTTATGGGAATATTAATTGTAAAAAATCAAGTATTTACAGTTATTTCAACCAGGTATAAGATGATGAAGATGCTGTATTTACCTGCGTGGGTAGTAAAGGGCAAGAATTGCACAAAAAGCATAGAAAGAATTTTTGAAATATTTTGATGACAAAACATTTGTTAGTATTTCTGTTTGTTTTTTCTTATTTTTTAAAACGTCTTTGTACAGTATGTGATTTGAAAATTAGGTGTGTTTTGTAAGTAATTGTCTTCTGGGCAAACTCTTTTTAAAGTATACTCCTGAGGAACGTGATCCTGTCCCCTTGAGTATCCACCACATGCCTATTTGTGTCAGCTTTGCCTTCTTCCAGCAAGGGTAAGATTTTTCAGTCTTTTGATAGAAACAACTTATTCTGCAGAATTGAATTTTAAACATAGAAGAGTCCTAAAAATATTTCTATTGACAAGCCAGTTTCTGAAAACGCTTTCTGAAGTGATAGACACGACATAGGAATTTTTTTTTGAGGGGTGAGGGGGTATACCTATAATTTCTAATACATAAACCAATTCCTTTGTTTAATTGTTTTAAGGGTAGTAATTCGCCTCAAGCTTTTACTGTTGCCCTATCTTTAAAAACTCGATTATAGGACCTATTTATTAGTGGATCCAAGTGAACGTGAGGAACGTGTAATGGATGGTCTCCTTGTAATTGCCATGAATAAACATCAAGAAATTTGTACCATCGACTCTAGTGGAGGGATTGTGCTAGTAAAGAATCAGGTAAATCTTTGCCTTAGCCAGTCTCTCTTGTATATAAACTAGTTCCTGTGCTGTAATCTTGATATTGAAGTATCCTTGACATTTGGAAGCTAAGAAATCAATTACCTCTCTGATTCAATTGGAAAAAATTACAGATTTTTAGTCCTAGTAGAAGAGCATAGTACTATGTATCATGCAGATTGTTGGGTCAGATTTTTTTCCCCTGTGGGAGTCTGTAAATCAATTCAGACTGCACTCTCATGAATAGATGGAGGCTGTTATGTTAACCTTCTGCATCAACTCATAGTATATCCAAGTCCCTCCTACTAGGATGCTGTCTTTTATTTCAAGTGTTTGTGACTCCTGTGATGTTCTACAGTTTCAGTTAAAAAACATCTTGCTTTCATGATAGTAAACTGTTGTTATATGTATAACAAACAGGTTCTGAGATGCAGTAAAATAACAGCTGTTAAGGTTGCAGAAATAACAGAACTCATTCAAAAAGCATTGGAGAATGACCAGAAAGTTAGGTGAGTGTTTTGGGAAGGAAGGGAAATGGGTGTTTTTTTAAGAAACATACTAAAAAGTCAGCCTGTAGTTTGAGCATCTAATTGCTTTCACTTGTATTTGTTTTAAATAGCAAGTGTATATTTGAGCTTGAAAAGAGAAAGCATTTTTAAGTGTGCAGCATCCTGAAAAAAATTAATGTCTTTGACTGAATGACTAGGAAAGAAGGTGGCAAGTTTGGCTTTGCAGAATCTATACCGAATCAAAAGATCACTGCCTTCAAAATGGAGAGTGCTGCTGTGGATACTAACAATGTGGAAGAACAAGCAGAAGAAATCATCACTAAAGCTGACCCTCCTTCAGAAGTGTATCTTTTCTGTTGTATTATTCAGGGGGAAGCCAGGCTTCCCGTCCCCTGCATTAGCACTAGAAACTAAACACACATCCAAGATTCCTCGGGGCTTAGGCAGCCTAAGAGGAAACATCAACAGCACACTGGGTTTGGTTCTAATTCCTTGTAGTTAGCTTCATTCCTAGCCTAAAATGCAACACTAAGGTCTGAAGTGATCAGTTGTTACAGTAGCTGGAGAAGTTGTACTCTCTCTCACCTCTCCTTTAAGGATGTTCTGCCCTGGGGAGAAAAGATACAGCTTGAAAAAAAACAAGTGGTTTACTCTCAGAGTTTGTCAAGTTTACCAGCAAACACAGAAATTTTTCTTAACTAGTTCAGTTTTGCCAATCCAGTATTGTACACACCTGGGACAGCCCAAATTGGGGAAGGAATAGAGAACTCCTGGGGTGACTTTGAAGAATCGGAGAGGGAAGAAGCAGCAGAAGAGGAAGGTGAAGGTGATGGTGATGCTACTGCCTTTGAATGCCAGAAAATGGAAACCAAGGATACAAGTATGATGGAGGAAACTAAGACGGGTAAGTGTTTATCTTGTTATCACATGTGCTTCTTATATCATTTTATTAACAGTCTAGGATTAAAATGTGAAAGAAGTCCTTAGTAAGGAAGGAGAACCATTGTAGCCACTTTCCACCTGTGTTACACACATCTGCTACTCTCACTTCACCAGGTCACTTGTTTTCTTCAAAGTAAATACTGATTTCTGTAGTATATGGAAGGCTCCAAATTAAACAGTAACCACTCTGAATGTTTCTTGAAAAATGCTTGTCGTGGTTTAAGCCCAGCCGGTAGCTCAGAACCATGCAGCCACTCGCTCACTCCCCATCTTTATCCCTCCCAGCTTCCTGAGGGATGGGAGAGGAGAATCAAATGAATGCAAACCCCACGGGTTGAGATAAGAACAGTCCAACGATTGAAGTATAATATAAAACTACTACCACTACCACTACTAATAAGGGAAGTACCAAGGGGAGAGAATATAGAACTAAAAGGGGAAAATGAAAAGAAACCCCTCAACACAAGTGATGCACAATGCAGTTGTTCACCACCTGCTGACCAATACCCAGCCTAATGTGAGCAGTGATCTGGGCCTTCCAGGTAACGCCCCCAGTTTATATACTGGGCAGGAATACCCCTTTGGCTAGTCTGCATCAGGTGTTCTGTCTCTGCTTCCTCCCGGCTTCCCATGCCCCTCTTCATTGGCAGAGCATGAGACTGAAAAGTCCTTGATCAAGGTAAGCATTACTTAGTAACAGCCAAAACAGCAGTGTGTTATCAGCGTTGTTCTCAGACTAAAGCCAAAACACAGCACTGCACCAGCTACTAAAAAGGAGAAAAACAACTGTTACAGCTGAACCCAGGACAGTGCTCTTCCTAGTTATTTGTTACAGAAGTTGTTTGTACAAAAATGATCACAGGTTTGTGGTTGGTTGATTTGTTTTAGATGAACCTATTCTGTTGTCGGACAGTGAAGAGGAAGAAGTTGTCATTCTACAACCACAGGAACTACCAAAGAAAACAAGGTAACCATTATTTGAAATTAGGAGGGGAAAAAGGTTCATAAGGAGTATTTTCAGGTAGCATAGGATTTGGCAAGGCCAAGGAAGGTTTCAGTTGATCAAGGGGACTACAAAGATAACAGAGAGTGAGGAATTCTAAATCTAGGCTAGTTTGCTCCTGTCCCAGGAAGGCAGTCATCTTCATCCTGTCTGCCCTGCAGCCAGATGAAATGCTTATATGACTAATGGCTCCAAAGGGAGCGAGAGCAGGATTTGCAGGAGCTGCTCCATAGAGGATATCCTGCAGATATCCTACTACCTCTTAAATTAATTTTAATCTTGTACTGCATCTTCAATTTTATGTCTCAGAAGTGAGATAGATTACAGTAGCTCTGCACTAGCCATGGAAACCCTTGTTGTGTTTTGCACTGAGCATGGTGGATGGTTGCCTGTTACAGGCGATCAGCCTGTGTTTTCTTGAAGTAAAACCATTCAGTACACTTCTATGATAAAAGTGTTGTTTCCTCATAGAGCACAGACCAACCTGAAAAAAGGAAGTACAAGTAAGAAAGCATTTATCAAAAGGAGAAAAAAGAAGAGAGCTGCTCATTAGAGCCATCATCCTTCCTTCAGAAGTGCTGTATAATTCGTAATTTGGTCTGTTGTTACTGAACTTAGTTCTGTAGATAATTCTACATCCTCCCAACCCATATCTAGTTCTGCTTTTATGTATATGTTATAAAATTGTACACACCTTTAAATACATAAATAAAAAGCATGAAAGTGAAATTCCGTAGTTACCACACAGCTACACCAGTAAACTTGCTCATTTGAGATCTACAACGTGAACGGCAGAGGTAAGATGTGTTGCTATTCTTAACAAAGCTGCCTGTGCCATTACTGGAGTGAGCTGCACCCGGTCACAGTTCAGGTGGTAAAAAGGAATTATGGCTTTGGTTTAATGCCAGGAAAAAGCTTTTTATTTTTTATTATTTTTTTTAGTTCACCCACTGCTCTTGGGATTGGTAAACAAGCAGTCATTTGTGACACATTTTGCAGATTGGCAAACTCATTCATGCTAACACCAAATTTTCATCCTGTGTTTTTCTTGGCAGATAGAAACAGAAAAAAACTCCACTGCTTCTGTTTGCCTTTCATTTCTCATTTCTTTCCTCCTGATCGCTTGCCATCTCCTTGTCAGGATTGAGGTCTGGAATTGGAGCAGAAGTCCATCCCCATTTCAAGAGATTTCCGTTTCTTACTACTTCTTCCTCTGGTTCTGTTTTTACCACAAAATTGGCTCCCACTAACATCCAAAGTGATCTCCGTTCTCCCCAGGTTTGAAAAGGATACACAAAGTTAGACCTATTTCAGAGTCAATTTGGACGTCTTGTCACATCCCTCTTGACAATTCGCCATGACCATGGGGCTTTCTTCATCCTACTCTAGTGCTCCCATGCTTCTGACTTAGCTCTCTCGATGGCAAAAGGGCCAGCGGGAGGGCCTGAGGCCATTTCAAATTACTTTCCTCACCTATTTTACTAATCTGCCTTTTCAAAGGTTGGTTCATTCTTTTGACTTTTCCACTCCATTGCAGCCTCCGAGGCGTATGGAAGTTCCAAGTCATTTCCAGCCTTTTACTAATGCCCTCTAATAACCACTTCTGCAATCACATGTGGACTTCTAGCCCAAGATATTCCGATAGGCACCCCAATTCCTGGGAGAAGTTCCTGCAACAGCCACTTAAGGACTTCTTTCGCTTGATTACTCCGACAGGGAAAGACTTCTGGCCACCCTGCAAAAGTGTCAACCCTGACCAAAATGGACCCATCCCCATTTTGCCAAGGTACCTGTGAAAAATCTACTTGCCGAGAGCCTCCTGGTTCTGTTCCCGATTTCAGGATTCCCTTTTGAAACGTTGTCTTTACAAGCAGAATGGTTTTCGAACCTGTTGCACGGTTTGCAGATGCCACTTTTGCTCTTTCTAGCATTTGGCCTGATCCCGCGTGTCTCTTTGAAAGGGCCGCTCGTGCTTCTGCTCCGCAGGGACATTCTTTCTGGTTTGTCTGTATGCTTTCCCTCCTTCTAAGCGCTGGGATTACTACTTGGGCGTGCGAGGCTCCCAGCAAGGTGGCACGCGCGCGCCCCTTGTGCGGACCTGCCCCTCCTCCTGCAACTGCCCACCCGCAACCCCCTCCCTGAAGAAAAAGGGGGCCGCTCCCAGTGCCTGGCAAAAGGCTCCAGCAGCCGGGAGCGCCAGGAGGTCTCCGGTTCCAATTTTCAAGTTTCTAATGCTCCCCACCTTGGACTTGGAGGCAGCATGCCTCACGTTATTTCTCCTCCTTTACCACCTAAGAGGGAAACGAGTTGTCTAGGTGCCATCACCCATCATCGTCTGTGCTAAGTGGCCTGGGCTGCGCAGTGCAGATTTCTTTGCAGCTAAGAAGCATTCCTCTTTTGGGAATGCATGTCTCAGTCAACTTGAGGTCGTTCCTAAGGCCCCTACGCAAACAGCCATATTTCAAAGCAGCAGCTAAAGGAGGACTACTAGCCTGGATCACCACATCAGTGCAATTACAATTAGATACCTCTTCACACCTACAGGGCATTCACTTTTCCTTTTCTTGCCACAAACTACTACTCTCCATTTGGCCAGGTTGCAAAGTCATTCCATCCCAAATACAACACCAAGGTGCCTTAGCCATGGACTGAAATGGAGATAACATGGCCATAATCAACCACAGAGCCCCACTTTGCCTCGCTGTTTTCTATCAGACTTCCCTCATTACATTTCCATTCCATGATCATTCAACTCACATTTTTCTTTTTTCATCATAGCAACACCATCCCACGCTCTTAGATCTCCCTAGTTTGGTTAAAAAAATAATTTAACAGTTGCTCACAGGCAGCCCGGCTACCTGGGCATTTCCACTCTTTCCGAACGGTTCCCTTTTGTCATTGCCATGCAGCCACAGGGTTTTGGTCTTGAGCTGTGCTTTCATTTTTTCTTAAAATTGTCAGATTCGTAGTTAAAATTCCCCATGGGATTGATAGCTATTGTCAGCCCTTGGAAGCATTTCATACTTCGGAGTGTTCTTCAAGGTGCAAATGGCATGCCATGGCTAAGTCCTAAATGCCCATGCCATGTCACTCCGTATCTTAGCTTTCACTGCTTCGTATTACAAAAAACAAAGCAAAAACAACAACAAAAAAAACCCAACAAATGCATGTACTTAACAAAATAACATCAAACTTCCACAAAGTCTTCATAGAGAAGCAAATCATACTTCAGCAATGGAGTTTCTTAGAAAATTTAATTAAATATTACATGCAACAGACAAGAATGCTTCTTGAGCTCTATTCAAAGAATTCTGCCCTGGATGTTAGTTGTGCAAACCAAAGAGACAAGGAAGTTTCCAACATACGTGACTCTTGTTCAAAAAGCATGTCTAGCTGGGAATGTGCATGTATTTACAAGAGCCAAGTGGGCCTATTTCACATGTGACCATAGCATTTCATGACATAGAAACATGCGCTGAGTCACTGTTGCGGATGTTACATTCCCTAAATCAGGTTTAGAATTTAATGTTAAAAAATAAAAAAGAATGCTTCCTGGCCAAGTAGAGCTTTATTCCAGTTGTGCTCTTCCAGAAAGGAATAAAACTAGAAAGCCCTGTTCCTCCGAGAGTTAAACCAGAACTAAATCCCTGCGTCTTCCTCATGTTGGTTCTTCCAACCCAAAGTTGCTGTTGGGAGTATAGGAATGAGGGAAGGTTCAGTTTCTTGTTACTTCTGCAGTGCCATGAGACCTTAAACTTCTTTGTACTGCTGTTTCTCTTTACATACAACATCTTATACCCTTCATTGCTTAGAGGCTTTACACTGAAGGGAGTAGGAGGAGTTAAACTGGATAAGTGAAACAGTAGTACAGTACAACCTGGGGTATTTTATTGAAAGTTTAAGAGCAAGAGCTAGAATCAGCCTATATTAACTTCAGAAAATTACAGGGTGGGAGAGGATGGTGCTTGGTGCAGCTGCAAGAGATGTCAGTAACGAGGGGGGCAGAGGCACTAGCCCATGTCTGAAGCCTTGTTTTAGGCTGAAGTCTTGGTATACCTGAAAACAGACCTCAGAAGCAAGAGAGAACATTTCTTTGGGCTATGGAAACAGTAACAGAACAGCTTCCATTGAAAATGGAGCAAGGAGGCATTTCATTAAGCAGTAATAAATACAATAAAACCACTTAGGTCCTGCCATTTAAGTAGTGTTACTGCTCTTTTCTGGGGAAAAGAATTGATTAGCTTCCTATAAATTACTCCTCTTCCAATGTTCATATTTGTCAGTGGTCGTGGAAAGTTTCCAGTAATATGCCACAAAAAAAAGGAGGGGAAGGCAGAACCCAGTGGTTTCCCATGAAGAGTGCTGTGCTCTGTCATCTTCAAAGCATAATGGGCAGTCAGTATTCTGAGTTGCCCTTCCAAGTTCACAAACTGTGGCAAGCACATTCCTGCATATACAGACTCCCTCTCCTGCAAGGTTACAGCATTTCTAACACCGAGCACCACACAGGATCTACTGCACGTTTTTCTCCCAACTAGTTTTATCCTTTCAGTGGTAATGTACTGAAATTAAACTGAAAGGCTATTGGAAAACGTGATAGACCAACGAAACATGTTCATTAAACATTAGAACATTCTAAAAGTCAAAGTGCATCCTTAAAATCTCAGGCTGGCCAAAAAAGGCAGTTTCTGCTGCATTCTTTTATTAGGACCAGGAAAGCTACCACCACTTGGGTCAATTTTGTAATAGAGGTGGTTTGTGGAGGGCTTAGACTGCAGCACAGGGGTAGGGGCAGAACAGCAAATTTTTAGTTCTCAAGTCGAGATGTGCATGTTGTCTCACTGTAACACGTGCTTCTCAGCTTTGACAGAGAAATTACGATTAATGTTTCTTTTCAATAGCCCGCACCATAACAGCTGTTCAACAACTGTGAAGAGTTTATCCCAGCACCTGCTGGGTGTCCAGACAGTGTAGAATCAACTTCAAGTTGAAGGGGTACAGGTTTCACAGGGCAGCCCGACAAAAAACTTTAAAAATAAATGCCAGTTTTAAGATGGTAGCATTACCCCTCACTGGTTTTAAGGTATTGGCAAGACCATTAACATCAGATGTAAAAAAAGGTTTATTAGCAAACCTGGAAGTGGCTCAGTTAACCCACTTACATGTACTCACTGCTTTATACACAAAGAACAGCACGTACAGGGCAGCACCACTCCATTTACATGGGCTGAAGGTGAACATCCACTCAATCTAATGCCAATTAGATGCTAGTTTGCTCCTGTAGCAGTTCCAGAACTAAGGAAAAGTAAGACCAGTTGGCCTACATTTTTGCTGCATGCCACAGGGGAACATTCCTTTCCAAGCAAGAGAAGTGTACAGAATTGGTACCATTCCATACACAGCCCATCCACACCAGAAAACATTCCCTCCTCTTGAGGGCATGGAGCAGTATTTCAACCTCATGCAGTTTAACCCCTCCACTGCCCCTAAAGAGGCACTCAGTAAGCAGACCAATGACTAATTTTAATAGATATTAATGGGCTTTCAAGACAGCTAACACAGCAGTGAGAATTCCATGAGTTTAAATTACTATTAGTTTTACAGTTTGACTCAAAAAAATACCTATTATAAGACCATTTTCTACTGGAAGAAAGAAGTATGACCTGATGTAGCAGTTCTAGCTGTGCAGTCCCCTCCAGCAAAGCATTCAAACTTTCACCTGATGGAAATCT